GTGCGGAATGTAAAAAACTGAGAAGAAACATTGATAATCTTCAAACTGAATCAATTGAGAAATCTATTGATGAAGATCAAAAAAAAAAATTGGAACTTCATTGATGACAGAAAATCTGAAAAGGGCACTCCAATTAATGTTAAACTAGGCAATGATTCTGCAGAATCTGGAAATGAAGTAGTAAATTTATTTGCGAAACATTTTGAGTCGTGTTACTCTAATAATCCAACGAACCCTCAATCTATTCAGTTTCCCAATAGATATGACATCATAAATATTACGCCAAATATAGTCCTTGAAAAACTGAATAACTTGAGGAATAAATTTAGCACCGGACCAGATGAAATTCCAGAAATTATTTTGAAGAAATGTGCATCTTCATTTGCACTTCCTCTTAGCATGATTTATGATAAATCTATAAAATCTGGAATATTTACTACGAGCTGGAAAATCAGTTACATAACGCCAGTACATAAATCCGGAAGTAAAAATGAAGTAAAAAAACTATAAACCTATCAGTATTTTATCTACAGTACCAAAAATCTTTGAAGAGATGGTTTTAGATTATTTAAAACCACAAATGGAAAACCACATAATTAATCAACAACATGGATTTATAACTGGTCATTCAACTTGGACAAATTTACTGATGTATAGTCATGATTTAATTAGTGCACTAGATGAAGGTGCTCAAATTGATGTGATATATACAGACATCAGTAAAGCGTTTGGCAAAGTAGATATCAATATTTTATTACAAAAAATTCATAAACTCAATCTGTGTCACATTCCTATGAACTGGTTCAAGACATATCTTACTGGAAGATCACAAATAGTTTGACACAAAGAATACAAATCCCGTAAAATTTTTTGTAATTCAGGAGTTCCCCAAGGATCACATTTGGGACCATGGTTCTTCATTATCTATATAAATGATATCGTTGAAGCTTTTGAAAACTCTTCATTTAATCTTTACGCTGATGATTGCAAAATTTGGTGTAAAATATCTGATGTTAATGATGCTAGTTTACTTCAAGACGACCTAAATCGAATGATATCATGGTGTAATGAAAACAAACTTGAACTAAATATAAACAAATGTAAACTACTTCATTGTAATCGTGGTCATACTGAAGTAACAGTAGATTATAGTATTCAAAATACAATAATTGAATCTGTTCCACACATTAAAGATCTGGGAGTAATCATGGATACCAAAAGGTCTTTTAATAAACACATTGATTACATCATCAACGCTTCACTGAAAAAACTTGGATTTATTAAAAGACAAACTGGTAAATTTAAATCAATGAAAATGATTAAAACTCTTTATAATTCCCTGGTCAAATCAAAATTGATGTATTGTTCTTCAGTCTGGTCACCAAATGTTGAATATCTTAACAAAAAAATAGAACGAGTTCAACATTTATTTTTCTCTTATATAGCTTTCAAATTAAAAAAACCTAATCCGAGGTATAATCATGACTACAGTGAAATATCTAGCTATTTGCAAATACCCACTTTGTCATCCTCGAGAATAGTACACAACGTGTTATTTATGAATAAATTATTGACTGGAAAAATTAAAAGTTCATCACTTCGAAATATGTATCAACTGTATAACTATCCATACACAATGCGAAGATCTACTCTACTGAGAGAATTTGACTGTAGAAGCGACTATTTCTATAATTTTGCTATACCACGTTTAGCCAGAATCACCAATACATATATAAATGAAATTGATTTGACTCGAAATACAACGTCAATAGCTAAAATGATCAAACAACTCATATTAGATTTCTCTGGATAGATATGGAACAATTGACAATACTTATTTTATGACAAACAAATATTTTGTAATCTTCAAGAGCATATAAACCTATGTATATACGAAATGTATTTAGGCATTATATGCCAGTTGGATAATAATAATAATAATAATAATAATAATAATAATAATAATAATAACGAAAATGATGATAATGATGATAATGATAATAATAATATTAATAATAACGAAAATGATGATAATGATAATAATAATAATGATAATAATGATGATGATGATAATAATAATAATAATAATAATAATAATAATAATAATAATAATAATAATATATTATTATTATTATTTTGCATTGTTTCACTCACTGCTGTAACATTTGATGCAGATATATTTTAAACAGTGTTGGGGAAAAACAGCAACCATGACGAAGACCATTACTGAAGGGTAATGGATCTGAGGACCTGTTGTAGATCTTAATCTGAGAGGAGGTGTTTTTATATAGATTCTGTGGCTTCAATTACGTTTTTAATGACTAAGTGTATCCATTCCTTCCCACACTTGCAACCAGTACATTGACATATACCTTCTGAAAATCAATGAAACCCAGATGAAATTCCCTGCCTCTCTTTGTTCTCTTTTCTAGAAGTGGTTTTAATGTAAATATATTGTATATACATTTACATTAAAACCACATTGTTTCTCTCAGACTTTTCCTCTTATCTCCTCTATTCTATATCGTATTATTTGGCTAAAGAACCTACCTACAGATCCAAGAACTACTATTCATCTGTGGTGTTTTTTATTGCCTCTAGATCCTTTCTTATGGTTCGGTGTCAGAAAAAATGTTTCTCACTCCATAGGAGGAATTTAATTTAACTCGTAAATAAATTCTCCTTAGTAGTAAAACAACTCGACCACTAATTCCAAAGACATTGTATGTTCTTTAACAAATTTTAATGATTCCACGAGAAGTAAACCTGCTGCTTCTAATTTCTTAATTGCTATTAGCAATTTTACAAAACTGATTTTATATAGTAAGTTAATTTTGTAATAGTAATGGTTTTTTAGACTTGCTTTATTCATTTCTTGCACACAAGCAGACTGAGTCTGTTCTTGATTATTGGAGTAGAGTGAGGTGGCTTCCTGTATCTTAATTATCTTCTGTTATTTAATAACCTGATATTGATACATTTTGATTCATTTCACGATTGTAGCTCGCAGTGCACATACCCACTTAGCAAGTCATTGCATATGTGCCAAAGGATTAAAATTTCTGGTATAACAATAAGCAAAGGCAACTCCATGCTATCAGGATCTAAAATAATGCGCTATTTATACAAAATACACATGCATTTTAATTTTCACAAAATATGAAAATGTAGCTTCACAAGTGTATAATATGCTACATGGATGTCAAAACGGAGTATTAATTGAAAAATGTCCAAACCTCATTGTGCCTAAATTTCTCTCCAAAATTACAAAAACGTGCAAACATGCACGGAAAAACAATGCGTTTTTAAAACGAGTATGCCATGAAGAAACATTTAGAGTTTGAAAGCTCTATGGAGTGTAAATAAAAATATGCATTTGTATGGAAATCTTGTCTCTACTTACCAATCATTTCATAATATTGATGGTGTGAAAGAACCATTAAGAAAACTATACATTACGTGCATATTCTTGCAGAGTTGAAGATAATGTAGCTGAATTGACTTGTGGCAAGACAGATGCCATGAAGAGATAATGAGTATATATTCAACGGGTATATATTCAAAGGCACTAAAATCCATACAATAAGTTGATCAGAAAATTGAAAATTTTAATGCAATTGTCTAGAATGAAAATGTTTGAATGTAGTATTGACAACGAAGTAAAATCATTTCAATTGCAAGTAAAACATCTGGAATCTAAATGTCATGAATAAAGCCTGGATTTCTATGCAGTAAAACTGCCTAAAATATGCCATATAATGTTGGATAAATTTTTAAAATATACAATAAATATGCAGTATAAAATTTGCAATAAATGTTAAGTATTAAAATGTAATGAAAAATTATTGTACAAAAATTTTAATTGTTACGACAGTAATGTCTCTATGAAACATGGTAAAAAGTCAATAAAAAGTAAGTATTGAAAATAGTTCCATGTTAAAGAGACCCAGTGCCACTAGGCAGCATTGGGGCACCTTTTTGGCAATGGAAAGAATTTATTTAATATTAGAGAAATCCAAATACTGTAAAACACCTGAAATAAATTTTATTTTTAGTATAAAGCTAATTAACCAATAAAATGTTTTTATAAATTTTCCATCTCTTTTAACTAAAATGGTTTTGGATTTAAACTACATTTTGTGACCTCCTTAGAGGTTGGGCCCCTTGGCTACTGCCTAGTTTGCACAGACAGAGTTTCAGCCTTGAATGAAAATTCAAAACCTTAACTTTTGACGGCAGAGCCAGGAAATTTGAACAGTTGCTGTGTTGCCAAAGTTTCTCCGACAGTAAGCAGAGGAATAACTTGTCCCCACTCAATTTTTTCAGAATGTGACCCTTCACGCTATGACATGCAAAGTTGGTGCCGAAAATTTAGAAATAAATTTCCTTTTCATCAGGTAATACTATATTTATTTTCTCTGAAAGCCATTCTGTTTCCGAGATAAACAGGTTTCCATTTTAGATTTTTACTTATAAAATTGTTCTGTTCTCAGATTTTTATCAAGGATGACAGGTTTCCATCTTACAGAGGTTATCTTGGACAGGTTTACTGTACTATAAATCGCCATGATCATAAACTTCTTTTAAACCAAACATTAACCATTGTAACAGAAGTGATACTTTATATAATGAGCCTTTAGGAAGAAACTATTTTGGAATTGAAGCTCTTCTGGCTGAGCCTTTAACAAATGGGTCTGATGATTGTGAAAGTGAATGAATATGCCATTGCTGGATGAACAGGGAATAAACAAAGCCATATTCCAATAGCAAACAGGGCCGGTATTGCCACAAACGCTATTCGCAATCCACAACTTCTGTACCATTGAAGGATGAGCCAATGAGGTACATAGTCATGGATGAAAACTGTTCCTCTGTTTATATCAGGATCATTCTAAAGACGAACATTATTAACTGGCATGACTGGACAGAATGCTGTGTGTATTTCCCGCATCGTGTACCACATTAGTTCTTTAAATGAAAGTTGGACAGTGAAAACTCACCAAGACGCCAATGAGTGTACCACCAACCACACCAGCCAACACAGCATCTTCAAGTGAAGAAGGTATCCTTTCCAGACAACTCAAACCTCCAAGGTTAGCCTTTTCTTGATGGTTGCTCTGACAACCATGAAGTAACCAGCGAGAGGACTGGTCTCCCACCACTGCAGTCAGGCCAGTAGTTAGGCCACTGCTGTCAGCTGAAATATAAAATCAAGAAAAATGAGATTCTTCTTACAGTGTGAAATTCATTTGTATCCTGCTTTTTAATTGTGCTGTGGTGTTTCAAATATGAATTGTGTTTGTGTTGTTTCAAGTGTATGATATGATGTGAATTTTATTAGAAACACCAATTTCATGTTTGAAAGACAAAGGTAACAAAAGTTTGAGGTTGTGAACACCCTAATGAATCGCTACAAATACCTAATACCAAGAAGTTTAACATTCACCTAAATGCTAGAATCTTGCTTCCAAACAGCTGTGGTTTAGGGAATTCCACTGGTGGCATTCTCCTACACCTCTATAGAAATTTTGTTGACAATTCTTATTTGTTGCTAATTCTTACTTTTGAAGTTGCATTTACATGAAGAGACAAAGTCTCCTAACTTCCTTGAAGTTAGGAGATAAACTCTCTCACACAGCTTTACATTATTTAAAATATCACCCGAAACATGAGTCTCCTAACTTACGGGAGAGTCGTTTCCTGAGATATCTCCGGAAAAGTATCTCTGTTTACATTTGATACAAATGTATCTTGATCTTCTTTGTCTCCGACATGTTGAATAAACAGTGGATGAGCAGCGGCGAGGAGTTTGAGGTTTAGCAAGGACTATGGTGTCAACTCTTGCAGCAGCATGTGCGGCTTTAATAATTTTGAAGAAATTTTGAAGAGGAAATGAAAAGAGACAAGTGTGGGTGAAAAATGTTTTTAAGAAGAGAAGAGCTAAGTGTGTATAAAATTTTGATGGCGAAATTGCGGGAAGAGGATATAAAAACTTTGTTCGTGTTATTCCCAAAGGTTTTGATTTTTTATTAGGAAAAATTTCCCAAGTAATAAAGAAGCAAGATACTGTCATTTTAACAAATTTTCTCAATTTTTTACGCCTCTAAAAGTAAAATTGAAATATCACTTAATAATATTATATAAGGGCAAAACCCGGTTCTAAATGCTCATTTACATTGGTAAATTTGAAACTGTTTTTAAGTTTTGTTTGAAAGTTCCTGAAAATGCATATTTTCAAGCTCATTTTTACCCAAAACTTACAAGTTTTCAAGAAACATCATTGGAAATAATTCGAAGTAACTGTACTCACAAATGCAATTGTGTACAAGAAATCTCATGTCCATATTTACGTTAAGGACATATCTTTTAAATACTTCACTATCCAAGCAAAACATATAAAGAAAAAATTTGGAATCATTTTGGGGAAATGACGTTTGAGAGTTTCGGAAACTGGAATTTTGAGCTCCTTTAAGAGAAGAGTTTTCAAGGTACTTTATTAGAATTCATTGGATGCAATCATTCTCACAAATGTCTCAAGTGAAATTACCAAAAACTTTAAAAAATTTAGATGACATTCATGAAAGGACTAACTGTGGAGAACAAATTTCATTTAAAAAAAATTGCTGACATCAACACAAAAGTTTTAGAAAGACACCAAAAATATTCCAACTCTCGCAATTTCCGAAAATTCCGAGTTAACAGTGAAAATCAATCCTACAGCATTTTTATAAATGTATTTCACTCTATTCTTACAAGACATGTAAAGAAATAATTTGGAACCATTTTTGAGAAAATTTTCAAAATTGTCCCAGGGACTTGTAAATGTAGAATGCCCTCAAAATTTAAAAAATGTTCTTCAAAATAGTTGAGCCTCGAGTAAAAGCCACATTGACCAGGAAATATGAGAAGGGCAATGCATATGCTGTACACTGCTTTTCTAAAGTGGGCTCAAGCTAAGAGTTTTCGTTCCTGCCAAAGTAAATGAAGTTTTTGGTCTTCCCCAGTTATTTATTTGCATGCCTCATTTTATTGTGAAAAACTATATGAATACATGTAATTTGAATTCAAGATCTCTGAAGAGAAAATTGAGGTCTCATCTAATACTAAACAGGAAAGTGTTTAAATGTTTCATCACAACAGTTATTCTGAGGATATTTGGACTACACAAAAAACATTAATAGTGATAGCACCTGTGTAAGGTGTGCTAATAAAACAATAATTTAATAAATATGTTATTCGGCAGTATTAGTTATATTATGGGGAGTTTTTCAGAAACTTTGTTCATTTTATGGTGACTACCCTTAAATTAATTTTCCAATTCAGATTTATTAGTGAAGAACTCAGAACTCGTCTTTTCCACAATGCAACAGCAACTCCTCTACTCCTCATACTCCAAGATGGCCATTGTCCGTATATTGTGAAATTCAATGATTCACAACGTCAAAAAAAGATGATGGTTTTATGCAAGGAATTAATCTTCTGAAAAGAAAAAGAAAAAATATAGTCGAAGTGAAATGCATATTGGTTAACAGAAAAATTTAACTACTTTTCTGGAACAGAAATTTTACACCATTAAGCTAATTTCAGCCAAAGTTACTAATCCCAAAAATCTTAGTTAAATCTATATTACAAATATTATGTTCACCACAGAGAAGAGTATTCACCTACTATTCACTAGTGTATCCAAGAATTATGAAACATAAAACATTCTGACCCAATTTTATTTTGTCACTCTTGACATATATAAACACTTGTATCTTTTTAAATGCCTTCTTTTTCCTTCTAATGTGTTTATCTGCTTTGAGTCTGTCTCAAAAATAAATTTGTAAATCATCTTTCTTTTTAATCACAATAGCTGTGAACAGGTAAAAGTGGTACGAGATAAGTTGGGGGGGGGATTCAGAACCACTGAAGGTTGGTATCAGTCGCGTCATCATAATTGTCTACTTCCATTTTCCCTGGATAAAAATCTAAGAACTTCTTCATTTGACAATTTTCTTCTCGAGTTCTGGAAAATTTCTTATTCTGAGGATCATGAAAATTGGGTTTTGTACAGATCTGTATTCATGTCTATTGTAGAGATTTTCTTCATAAAGAAATCTCCGAAGTGCTTGGTGTGTTTATTTCTCCCTTCTTGGTTTTTTTCCACAATATTGCCCAATAGATAAGATACAAGTTTTGACCAAGAAAATCAACTGCAACTCTAGTGAATTTCTAACATTGTAAGAGGTTATTGCAATGTGATGGTTCTTAAATTCATGAGTGTTAGGCCAGTCAATATGAAAGCCTAATACACAGTAGATAGGAAGAGGAGGAAGGAGAATGGAATGAGTTTTCAAAAGGAGAAAGCAATAGTGATGAAGACATTACTAGAATCAGTGCATAATAGGGAATGTAAACAGGATGAGCTAATAAAGATAACGAAATGCCTGAAGATACTATGTAGGCAAATTCAGTAGTAAATTACCATAAATTAACACTAATCTGCCTGAATTATTTTGTAAAACATTTTCATTACACCATGGATGAGATGGAAAGCAACATTAAGTTCTAATTGCATTTCTGCATTTTTTAAGGTGAAAGTTTGAAATACCTACAACTTTGTAAAGCATACCCAAATGGGCACGCTAGGCATTTATATGACCATTACGAGTCAAAGCGACGCAGTTTCCTAAATTCCATGCAAAAAATAATCTTCACTACACTCTCTTGCATTGTTTCTGGAACATAAGATTTTGTGAATGATCTTACCCATTCCAATGCTTACTTAAAGAAGATGAGAACTCATAGCCAGTGGAAATGGATTTGCAATTAAAAATTGATGGACTGGACTGATGAAATAAATCAATGCTCTGCCCCTATCTTCCAGTACAGTGCTGATGGGGATTTGCAATTAAAAAATGGCTACTCAAGACTTTTACTAAACACTAAAGACTTTTACTTTACACTGAAAGGGATTTGCAATTAAAAATGGCTACTCAAGACTTTTACTAAACACTAAAGACTTTTACTTTACACTAAAAAGGGATTAAATTGGGACCTTATAAGTAACTTTACAACTTCTTGATAGTAGTAAGTATATAGTATTTTGCAGACCATAACGTAGAGCAAATTGAGGTGACGAACATCTGCCAAGAAAATATTCTCGTGGAAGTCGATTCCTTAAGTCACTCAAAACATGTTGCGATTCAGGAAAAAGTCCCTTACTTGTGACTGAAGTAGCTGTAACACAGAAATGCCTGGTGGCTTGTTCGTAAATATTAGGGTTTTCGGATTACATAGAATCACAAGCCTTGAACTGAAAATTCCAAACATTTCTTCTATTACCATAAATTATTAACCATTTTCCACCAATTTGGTACTCCACTATTTTCCCTAATTACAGAAATTACTGCAATTATCGAAAATTCACAGAGATCAACCACAAATAGACTTCCGCCTTCTTTAAATATTGTTTTATTAGTGAAAAAACCTAAAAGAAAAGAAAAAATGGAGCGGTTTTGAGAAAACTTTCTTTATATAATTTGCATTGATATCAACCAGATGTTACATGAAAACTATTCATTTTTTCAAAAAATTGTATGTTTTTAAGAGTTCATTTTTTAGAACAGAAAGACAAAAATCACGAATTTTGTACTTTTGAAATATAAACTTTTTGCAATTTTCGAAAACACAGAGAGTTTGCTGAAATTGGAACTGGTACCATCTTTTTTACAGCTCTTTGATACATACGAGGAGAAAATTTAGAGTACTTTGGAGTCTTTTTTAAAAGAAATTGTTTGAAAGTTGCCAAAATATAATGCAAAATTACGGGAAAATTACAATTTTCGAAAATTTGTACATCGCCTTATTTCAAGATGTCTTTAAAGAATACATTTCATTAAGAAAAATCTATCTTCAATATTGTAGTTGTAAGGAAGACGCCTAAAACATTGCTCATTCGCAATTTTCGAAAAATTTGCGATTTCAACAAAAATGAGACCTGCAATCATAAGCGTTCTTTAAGTTACCCCAGGGCAAAGTTCAAACAGAATATTTGGAGCCAATTGAGAAAATTTTAAAAATCATTTTGACGCTTGCTGTGTACGGCCCTTTAAAAGCAACACATCCGCAACCGAAACTCGCAAAGTCCCGAAATCGTACAGATCGACCGCGAAATATCAATTTTGGAGAAAATCGGCAGAATGGTTTACGCGCATGCGTTGACCGCGGACGGAAGGCCAGACACAGACCAACACATGCAGAAAAATGTCGCCGCCACGTACAGACGGTATAAGAGAAGATAGTCACCAAATCATTTAGATTTAGATGTATATTTATTAAGTCAAAAAGAAAAACAGAAAAAATTATGTGACGTAGGGGAGGAAAGATTATCTGCGCACGTTTTCTTGAGTTCCAGGGCGATAAACAGGGCGGATTACTGCTGGACACTCCCACTACAAGTATTACCATCCACCCACAGGGTCGAAAGTCAAAGATATGAATTATTAAAAAATGTTAGAGAATCCTTTTTAAATAAGATCAGAAAAAATATTACAATCATCCAATATATACTTCTAAATCTGGTCAAATTTATCAGGAAACGCATCGGCATCAAGATATCTTAAATTTACAAAACGATAAAAATCGTTGCCGGCAATTTGATTTTTTCACAAGATTAACATCACTTCTAATCCCTCCACAGCTTCCATTAAATCAGATATTACGTGATCCCTTCTTCGTAATTGCTTATTTATTCTATTCAAATGACCTACGTGTCAAAAAGGCTACGTCCGGAATCCACTTTTGCATATATCCACTGCGATCTGAGGAAAATATTCACCCCTGCCATTGTATTGCCATCAATACTAAAAGAGCTCTGGTAGCGCTTGTACACCCCTTTCTGGATTTGGAGGGGGAAGGGAGAGGAGGCAAGCTGCCTGTGTCCGCAAGAGAGCCGAGGTTCCCAAGGGGTGTTCGTGCGAAAAGTTGGACGCGCCTGCTTTGGCGGTTTCTCGGAGACGGAGGAGGGAGGTAGGTTTTAGTGAGAAAAAACCTCAAATGCTGGGTAGCTGCCCAGTTCTTAGAAGATTTCCACCTACCCTCCTAAAAAATACAGACAGAGCCTACAATATACGGATTCTTACTACACGTGTTAGAGGAGGTAATTCACTATAATACATAGGAACTAGGTGTATCCACTTTTTCGTTACCGTAGCCCGGCATTGTTTGCTTTTTTCTGTCGAAAATATCGCGGTTTTCCGGCACGATTACAATATGTTCACTTCTTGAAAAATACATGCGTGAAAGTAAAGAGCAAACAAAGATAGAATGGCACAGTCTTTCCCGCATTAGTTTCCATTTCCTTAGGTCTCGGCGAGCTATGCGAACCTGCCACATACTCTTGCCAGCTGCTATGTATCGCCGCACACGTACATTTTTTTAAAAAAATGTACATTTTTCGGGTTCCTAATAGTAGAACGGAAATATTATTTTAAGAATATTTAAAAACCTTGTCAAAAGTTAAAAATTTCTTGTAAAAATAGAGGAAAACACTTATAATGGTGGCGAATGTCTGGTTTTCAGGTGCATTTTTTTGAAACATTTTCGCGCAATATTGCGTGCAATATGTCCAATTTTAATTAAAGTACAAAACCATGATTTTATAAAAAAAAGGCTCCAATTTATTTCTTTAAACTTTTGATAGGGATAGTGCTAAATATACTCTATAATATGACATGAACATCAGTTTGCTCTATTCTTTTGTTGTTTTTTCTAAAATTAGAAAATTGTACTTTTGATTACATATCTCTCGACGTTAATATTTACAATAGCGGTGATTTGTTCACATTATTATAATTACGAGTACATGTGCTTCAAATAATGTCACAAAGTTTTTCGTAAACTCAACCGTATTCTGTGAAAACTAGCTCAAAATTCCGCATTTTCAGAAACTCTCAAATGCCATATTCTCAAAAACGGCTCAATTTTTTTCTTCAAACTTTACAAATGGTTAGTGGTAATTGCACTATTTAATATGACGTAAAATCCATTTTGGGGTATTTTGTTCTTTTTTCAGAAATGGCATTATAATATAATTTTTTAAAGATCTCTCACGCTGTTAATATGCACATTTTCAGCTATTTGTAAACACTAATGTATTGTGAGTTAAAGTGCTTCAAATTACTGCTAATGAAGTTTTTCGAAAACTCGTTTTAACTGTGAAAAAGCTTCAAATTTCGAATTTACATCAGCGCTGAAACGTCAATTCCTTAAAAATGGCTCCAAATGTTTCATAGAAAATTGCCATTTAGGACGAGGTTTAACTGTTCTTAAATATCCTTTAAAAGAATATTTCCGAGCAACTATTAGGAAACAAAGAAAAGTTCAAAATGTGTTCTTTGGGTGCAAGAGATGGCAGTTGGCAAGGGAATGTCAAGTCCGAATATCTAGCTGAGACCAAAGGAAGTAGGAAATTAATACGGGAAAGTCTGTGCAATTCTGAAGTACCACTAGTTTCATAACATTATAATCCTAGCTCCGAGAGGTACGAAACGGGCTGATATACTTTGTGATTACAACGCTATTAACTTGCGAACATTTGAAACTCCCGCACCAAATATCGTAATTTACAATGCATGAGAGCCAACCTACCCTGGAAGTGATGTGTCGGTGACACGCCGTGTCCTCGCTCCCGCTCTGTGATGTTCGGGAAGACAGGCTGGGACGCGCAAGAAGTGACCCGCTCGCTGGCCGGTCTCGCTGCGAATGAACTTGCGGCAGTAGGCGAAGGGCGCGTTCGCCGCCTCACGCAATTCCCCGCCCGAAGCGCCAAGGCCGCAGGAAGGGGAGGGGGAGAAGGGAGGGAGCGCAGCCGAAGAGGGCAAGGCGAAGATGGGAGTTGGAAGGAACTGCGAAGAGGCTGCGAGCAACGACTCGGCGCAGCGAAAGCGGAAACGAAGATAGCGGCAGAGCCTAGAATGCAACAGAGAGGACGGAAAAAGTTTCGTTTCTGTTCCGACATACAATTATTTACGGGCGAATCTAGTTTCGTAAAAAAGTAGAAGGCGGATTTTGACGACCAAATCATTGCCAAAAATGCTGTTAAAATGTTTTTAAAATATCCTAAAAGCAAACAAAAATTATGTAAAAAAATTTATTAAAGAGTTCAGATGAACACCTCAAGATGTTGGATATGTTACCAATGCAATCGAGGCTTCTTCCTTTTGTTCAAGGGAACACAGCTTGCAATTGTTTGGTTTGGACTGTTGTTAACAAGGAAATCTCGGTCTTTATAGCGAAATGGGACGAACCGACAATGGTGCTGGTAGACGTCACAAGAACCTTAGATTACATACAACAGCCGGCAGTACAATTTTTGATAGATACAATCTAATAGGCTACTCAGGAATTGTGTCAAGATTTTTTGTTGTATTTCGTGAATATTATTTGAAGGAAGTACCATTAAAATAATATTTAAATCGATGAAATCAGCGAAAAATGACGGAAATGGGTAAAAAAATGTATTAGTGGAAATCGAAAAAAAGCAACAAACAATGGCCTATTTCCTTTTGTCATAACACAAAGTAAACTATTTACTAAACGGCACTGGCGTAAAGTAAATAGAAAAAATGACATTTCATTAAAATACTAACTCTTATTTATGATCTTCGTTGTCGATAAAATTCAAAGTAAAAAGTGCCAATTATTTTTAATACGGAATATTTATACGAGTTAACAATACGTGGCATAGTTCATTAAAGTGATATTTCTTTTACTTCACATTACAGAAAATGTAGTTTATTGACTGTTTAATAAAGAAACGAAAGTATGTATTTTCTTTGTTCCTTCCGTTTTTTGTTTGTTTTTACTTCCAGTTTCATAACACTGTTGCAATGACCTTTTCTAAGTAGAATTCAGCCTTGCTTAAAAATAAAGTTGTTCTTAAAAAAATAAGTTATTTACTTTATCAGCCTACTTAAATAACTTCCTGGGTAAATTCATAGGTTTCTGGATTTGAAGGCTAGCTTTTATTGACAATATTTTAGTTGCACCCCCTCCTTCTATCGGAAGGTCCTCTTCCGGTAGACTTTGCGAAGCGAAGAAATGCCACTCAGCACTAAAGAGATCTTTAGGGAGAACTTCCATTTTTGTGGAACTAGGCGCTGATCCCGGCTGCAAAATGTCTTAACATTGTCAAATACCTATTCGGAAAGGTCATATGAGTAAAGTTCGGACATGCAGGCACTGAACCAGTCGAAAATAGACAAGCAAATAGGTTTAATATGCAGGGAAATGGCATTATATTTGAAAATAGGC